TTTTTTCTTCTTCTTCGATCAAATGTTTTTTTAATTTTATTATATTCGATTCAAGCTATAAGCAATATTTTACATCTTCGCGATTTTTGTTAACTGTTTTATTATTGTACTTTTAAACCTAAACCGCGTTTTAATTCACGCCGGTAAGTTTGATTTCCTATTACATTTTTCTTTTATTTCATGATTTTTTTCAAAATAAGGTTTTTTGCGATATCGACACATATAAAGAATAATTTTTATCTTAGGATAATTATTCTTTATTCAGAAATATCGCATTATTTATGGCAATTAGATGTGTCTTGACAACGACTATTTGCTTATACCATTCTTGTTTCTCTACCATTTAGTATTTTATTTTTATTTTATTCATGTTTTTCATGTTAATTTGTATATATATATATATATTTACTGGGAACGATTTTCTAAAATATTATACAACAATGACGCAAAACATTCGTTTTGAAACTCACATAACATTACGAACTCTTACATTCTATCATATTTAATATTCAGTTCATTTAAGAATGGTTTTAAGTATATTCTGTCAAAGCTTTAATTGTTTCTTGAGCCGAAAGGACAACATTTCGAACAACATTTTTCATTTCAATTTTTAATTTATGATGTGGCACATATTATTACAACCTTTTTTAATGCAGCACTATTAAAAGAGTTGACACTCGTGATTTTGTGAACATTTTTCCATGTTAACTGCTGATACAATTTAAAGAAACTATTTTCCTTTAATTCTTTTTTGGAGGGCAAATTTTATGTGGTTCGCAGTGCATATTTAAATGTATAGATACAAAAATCAACCATAATATTTTAGTTTAAGAAATAAGTGTATTAAATGTTAGTAAACTAATTCACCCGGGTTTTTTTCATGAGTGTATGGAATAAGTTTATCATTTTATGAAGAGAGGATAATGACTCGCCCTATTAGGAAATTTATTTGCTTTTTTTTTCGCTTGATGAACAATAAGAGGCCTTAAAAGTTTTTAAAACATTTCGAAATATAACAAATATTTCCCTTTTAACTGCACAAATCTTTATATATTTTGATTAAATTAGTTCCATAAAAATTATTTTCTTTCCTTACCTTTTAAATTGTCCACTCTGCTAAAAATACTACTATTTATTTTAAAGAAAGAAGTATGGTCACGAACTACCAAAATATGATAAATTTAACATGTTTTTTGCTCTACGTCATCAGAACATCAAACATCGTGGTAATTTTTACCAAAGCGGCTTGGTAAAATTAGTAATGCAATATTGTTTTATAATATGGGTGATCAATGCGGCAACATTTGGAAATTTTTTTCGTGATACTTTAGAGCATGGCATAAAAATCATTTATTCGGTTAAATTTACTTTGCAGTTTTGTATTTTTTACTAAATGAGGGGTAACAAGAACTATTTTTGAAACAAGAATGTCCAGTTAACCGTTACTACATAATGAACAGAAAAACTACCAAATGAATTGCTTAAAAATCGTATATTATGGCTTTATAAAACAGGATTATGGTTTTTATTACCAAAAATTCCTATACCAATCAGTACAGTTTTTTTAACAGATTTTTTTTTTCTCTGCGTAGGGAAAAGAATTAACAGTGTCCGTTAAGCTAAAAAAAATTCCCAGGTTAACTATAATAAGCAGATAGTGTAACAGGCAAAATCAAACGTTTCTGTTATATTTTTTTAATGTCCATCACAAATTAACGCCTATTTTGTAATAGTGGTTTCGTTGAAAATGAAACAATGATAACAACATTACTGACATGAAATAATGTAAACGTTATGAAAAACGCTATTTAAAACTCTTGAAAATACTAAGAAATTTTTGATACATTTTAAAGAAACAAAATTGTGTTTAGATTGTTGTTTCTAATCCTCCGGAATCTGATAAAGTCAGACAAGATATTTCACTCTCTTTAAGTCATACTCAAAATTATTTATAAGTAATTTTAAGTCACTTAAGTATTAATTTCCATCTATATTACTAATTATCTGGATTTAAAAACAGAGGCTTAACTTCTTTTTAAATATTTCACACCTTCTGCTTATATATTCAATTTTTCACCATCCATTGCTGCTAATCATGCTTTTTATCATTGATTTCTTTCCTATGTTATTATTTTTTTAATTTTAATTTTTTTTGTCAATTTTTTTATCAACCCTTTGCTTTAATCGTTCATTTTATTTTAAAGTTTATTTATTTTTACTGTTCAAGTTAGCATTTATTTTTTTATATTAAATAATCCTTCTATAGTTCATTCATTTTTTCCAGTTTTTTTTAATCTTATATTTTTTAATTATGTTTAAGAGCAACATTTCTTCCTTGTTAAGAAATTTTTTATACATTTTAAAAAACAAAACTGTGTTCAGTTTGCTATTTCTAATCCTCCGGAATCAGATAAAGTCAGACAAGATCTTTAAGACATTCCATTCTCTTTAAGTCCTATTCTAAATTATTTATAAGTAATTTTAAGTCGATTAAGAATTAATTTTCATCGATATTATTAATAATCTGGATTGAAAAACAGAGGACTAACTTCTTTTTAAATATTTTTTCAGCTTTTTTTTTATATATATTCAATTTTTCGCCATCCATTTCTGCTAATGAAGCTGCTTTTTATCATAGATTTTTTTCCCCTCAATATTTCTTAAATTTTAATTTCGTTGCCAATTTTTCTATGAACTTCTTGTTCTTATCGCTTATTTCATTTTAAAATTCATTTATTTTTATGATTCCAGTAAACATTCATTCATTTGTATTAAATATTCCTTTCATAGTTCGTTCTTTTATTTTTTCCTCCAACATTTCTAAACTATGCTTAAGTCTTTACTGTTCTTGTCTTTTTGCTATTAATTATGTTTAACTTTTCTTCTTCAATGAGTAACTATAGGAACTTCTTAATATATTTTTTATTTCTTGTACTAAGCAAAATCCATATTACATATTCTTCCACGGGGAAACAAAATCTGGTTCTTCAAAAGTTCTTACCGATGAATTTTACACAATTAAAAACTTAAATAATTATTATTATTCAAGAGAAGAAATTGTAGACTATCTCACTCAAAAACATTTTAAATAAAAGCATTGATATTTAATGACGTAAATAAAAAACTTTTTTTTGTGTAAGGATATTTACGTCAGTAAACTCTTAAAGAAAGGCATTGCATGATTAATATTGGTAATATACATAAAAAAAGCTATTTATATATTTACTTTTATTAATATTTATGTGTAATAATAAAAGAACACACTTAAGAGTCTTAAATAAGTACCATTTTTACCAAGTATCATGATCCCGCTAGTTCGTGTTATGATAAAGTAATGCGCTTGGTGACAGTTAATGTTCACGTTTATCAAACCGTATTCTAAAACACATTCAGATTAAGAAAGTATAATATTAAGAAAGCATTTTTACTAATATGTAAGACAAAAAATATTTATAATCACAGCTCACATTTTAGTGTAAATATAAGTTTTCAAATTGAAAAAAGTTTTTATGAAAAATTCAAATGCATTTTACAGTCATTATAGACAAACATATAGTATTTACAAAGTATATAGTATTCATATAGTATTCAGTATTTATTTAACCTATATTATTTAATTACCATGTTAATGATAAGTGTCTAAATAATACGAGTAACAGTTAATTTAGATGGTCATGCACAATTTGTCAGGTAGCATCACTGTTACTTATATTTTTATCATTTAATTTCTTCTAATAATTATTAAAATAAATTTTATTCAAATTATTAGAAATTTAAATATAAAAATATTTTTTCCTTTGTGAGATTCAGAAATAAGTTTTCTAATTTATGTAAGCATTTAAAATCGAATTTTGAATTATTAAAGATGGCAAAATTTAGCATGAGCACTTTTAAATTTTGTTTTAAATTATTTTAAGTAAATACATTAGTCTAAATATATAGTCCATATATAATAGTCTTCAATATATAGTCTATAATATATAGTCTCAATATTAAAGTCCAAATATTCTAACTGTTTCACTTACTGCGGATCTTAAATGTATTTAGAATCTTTGTCAAAAATGAAATATATACTGCATGCAGATGAACGGGCGCAAAATAATATATAAGAGAGAATGAAGCGAAAACGACAATTTATTTTTTTCTTCTTAGCTCAAATACTGACTTAATTTTTGTAGAATTCTAAGGATATAAATTTAGAGCGGTATTAAGAAACATCCTGCATAATTAATTGCAAACCTGAAATTGTGGATATTTGTTTTGCACTTTCATTTCATGCATAAAAGCATTTACTCTAAAATTTTAAAGAAAATATTAAGATGAACTGTGAGATTTTGGAAGGGCAATCTAATTGAATTTATTTACTTTTTAAAAGAAAATGTATTTAAACTAATTAAGAAAATTTTCTTTTTCCAAATATCAATAAGCTATATATGAATATTATTTAGTAATTGAATGTCGAAAAACAGAACGACAAGGCCCATTAGTTGTTTTATTCAAAAACAACACTTTCAGATGTAGATAAGCATATTTTTAAGCAATAAGTTCTAAAAATTGCTATTTTTCTAAGTTTTCTTCGAATTTTAAACTACTGTCATTTCTTAATGTAAATTCACTTATCTGATGACAATGAAAATTTAAAAAATAAAAAATGATTTATTTAGTTATTTTACCTTTTCCTAATTAGGATTTGATCAATTTGCATTTGCATTTTTGTTTCCCAGAT